GCCACGAAAAGGCGGCACTTTCCCATGCGTCGCCCCTCCAAAGGCACACGGTATCGTTCAGAGCCGATTCAAAGCTGCTCAATCTCTGGCGCGATCTGCTCAAATCCAGGTTTCTCTGTGCGCTGTTTTCCGATGTCTCCTCACCGATATCGATCGATATAGTTTCGCTTCATTTGGGTGGATTGTCCAGGGAGTGTGCTACCCGAACAACAGTCGGGTGGTCCTGAAGATAGAATGGTGGTCGCTTCGTCCAACAGTGTGTGTGTGGTAAGCATAATGAGATGACGATCTTACCAACTGTTTTCGAAGACATGAGCTAAACGTCATCTGTGATAAAATGATGAACCAGGAACCGGCAGTATGAGCGGTTCTGAGTCTCTGACCAAGGCCAAGCAACGGGCTACCGATAACATCTGGGAGAACTCTACCTACAATTAAGCTGGAATAGCGAAGCAAAAGTCTCTCCTAAGTCTCCGTGATACAATGACACGCCTTGGGGCAGCGCCATGAGCGGTTCAATGCCGTCACGCTCATCAAACGACAGTTGGCGGCCGTCAGTCTGGTCATACCCAGCTGGCGTCGGGACGTGGTTTACGAAGCAGGAAGCAAACGGTCCCATCAGCCAGATGGCAGTTCAGTGCAGTTCAGTTCAGTGAACCTGGTCAGGAACATCATTATACCCCGCTTCGCTCCCAGGTGGGTGATGTTGCAATAAATGCAACAGATGCAAGAGCAACTGGTTTGAATATTTCGGAAGTTTAAGCATAGTTGCCGCAATCAGAATATAATGAAATTACGCATTTTCGCTATTATATAGATTTGCTGAAGGGCAGCCAAGCCCGAACAATATTCCCACTCATTTTTCTCCTATGATAATGAGCGTTAAACATCACATTAAAAAAACGATAAATGCAATGACGCATGACTCATTATCCTCGACAACGGTAGCAGCAATCAGAAAAAAAAACTGATATGCCCACTCTGAGACTCTCACTTGGTGAGAAGGTTTGCACTCACACTCTAACTCAAACCTCAAACAGCCTCGCATGTGCACAAACACTCCACACTTCCTGTCAAACAGATGCCGTATTTCACTCTCGCCCCTGTGCGAGCGCGTCTCAAGTTTTCACTTTACCACCATCGCCCTCCTTCCGTGCGTCTCCAGCGCACAATACCAGACTAATCACACATCCAATCAGCATGCTTCCAGCACGGCCGGAACACACCGCCTGAATAGCCAGCTGATTGCGCGGCGACGCTCGCGACGCAGCGACGACGACGCCGGCGCGTCACGAAATGTGACGCACGGGGAGTGAAAGTGGGCGGTGCTCGGGTGACTGTCATCAACCGAGCTGAGTGTTATTACCAGAACGCGCTATTAAGCCGCGGTCCTGGTACGAGAGTATGATTGGGGTCGGCAGATTACGAGAGGAAGGGTGAAGCTGGGAGCGGGAACTCGGTACGTCCTAGGCGCGGAACGTCAGTCATTGAGCTCTGGGGTGGAGCGAGAACTAATTAACCTGTAGCTAGGAATCTGCGAAAGAGAATTACCTACCTAAGCAGAAAAGTTGGTTGATTTCATTACTTCGCTCTGCGATCAACTTATCATATCAATATATTTTTTTAAGAGATCAGCGTTATGAGGAAAATCATGTTATCACTTATCAGCACATTTTAATTGCCGAATCCTCGAATAAATCAATTGACAAATGACAAATCTATTAACCCGCGCCCCGTAGGGGGGGCCGAAACGGCCCCCCCCTGTCCTTTTCGGTCGATATCTCCTAAACGGCTGGAGATATCGCTACCAAACTTTCAGGACCCCTCCGGGCATCAATTTTACACATTGTGACCAAAAAGTTTTCCAGAGGCTATGATAGGTTGGCCACAAATGACGTCAGAGTGACGTCATGTTCTGTCATTTTCGACCGAAAAAAGACCTTCGCGAGAAGACCTGTCAGGACTACAGCTTTGAAGATACAGAAAAATGATCAAGACATAAAAGGTATAGAATTGACAGGGCTACAAAACTGCTATCTCGAATTTTTGAAATTTTTGAGTTTTGACCCCCAAAAATCAAAAAAACATTTTTTTGGATATATTCGCGAAAAAAATCCAAAAAGTTTTTTGAGTTTCGAAAAAAACCGGAATATATGTGATAGTGCCTACCGTCTTCTATCTACATACCAAATTTCAGAACGATACCTCGTTTTTTGGCCAAGTTATAGCGAAAAAACTTCAAAAATGATGACGTCAAATTTTCAAACTCAATTTTTGGCAATTCTAGAACTCGTAGAGCAAAACGAAGACCACCATTAGACTCTCCGTGACGAGCTGCATCGAATCGATACCCATTTTATGCAAAAATATCAACTTTGAAATTTGACCTAATTTGACCTGACCTTGACATGACCTTCACAAAAACGTGACCTAGGCTGGTCCCAAAGGCTGCCTAACCCACATAATCGCATTTGTCATGTAAAATGGACCATAAAACATGTATCACACGACACATTCATATTGTGACCCCCGGTGACCTGACCTCGCTGTGACCTGACCTGGTATCAGTGACCTCAGATAGCAAAGTATGTGTTTGACGAACAATGTACCATCGATGGTTTTCAATAAATTACCAATTTACTCGCTTTCACAGCACATTTCTTGAATTGCCTGTGAATGGTGAAAATCTGACCTTTGACCTGACCTGTGACGTCATCGGTTTGACCTAGGTCAATGAAATTTGGTCACAAGGTAGTTCCCGGGTGGGGCTATCGAACGCCGTTTGAATTTTGAAAATCGGCCGGTAACTTTCCGAGATCTTAGGGGGGGGGGGCGAAACGGCCCCCCCCCCTACGGGTGGTAGGGTCCGCCGGTAGCCCTACGGGGCGCGGGTTAAGTCTATTATATTTCAGCACAAGTTTTTATCGACCAAATTAATAAGCCGCACACTTATCAAACAGCAATGCGACCGCAAAAAAATGTCCAAATGTCACCCACCTCTGTCCACTCCCTCTGTCCTTGTCTTTCTCTTCCTCCCACACCACCCCTGCATCCCCTAATAGCTGCACACTCGCCACTTAGAGGAGGCAGCTTTCACCATATTTAGGCACCGCCATATTGAACCAGTCCTGACAGCGCGGCGCCCGTGGCGCAGCTGGAGGCAAGAGTGACGCGCCAGAGACGAGACAGGCGCGCCGCGGGCGACCGCCCAGATACCCCAGATAGGGACAGGGATGAGATGAATGAAAGTAAACTAGCTGGACGTAAACAGGGGCTCGGGAGTCGAGTGGGTGCCGGTGGAATGGGTAGGCAGTGGAATGGATCCGTAATGTTGACCATCGCCCGCACATCGCCATTTTCCCATCCTAGAACGCACATGGGGGGGGGGGGGGGGTTGGTTGCCTTAGAATGTTGCCTTAGAAATGCTGCTGCTTTGGGTTACCGTTGGATATCAAGTGCGCTGCTCATCATATACCGATGACGATGCCGTTTTGTGGTGCCAAGCCAGCTAGAACCTCTTTGTCACACTATCCGACCAGGTTTTTGTTGCTAAGGTTATTTCAGCCAGCAGCCTTCAGGTCAAGTTAGGTCAAGGTCAATGATATGTGTGTGTATGTCTGTGTGTGTCTGTGTGTAAACTGTGCACCGATTGTTCATGTGTCATTATTACATGAGATCATGAAATGAGAAGGTTTTACCAAAAATACAGTCAAAGAAACTTCACGAAAAGTAAATTCGGCTTGCCTACAACGCAATGATTTTAGATGACCTAGGTTGACCTTGACCCTGACCTTGACATCTGTACATCGTCGAACAACATGTTCCATGATAGGTGGGAGGTAAGACTGGCAAAAAGGCCGAAATCAAGGTGTCAAAAGCTCACAAGACCCATAGCCAACGCAAGATATTAGGTATTTGTCATTTGGGTCATGACATGACCTGAAGAACAAGGTCAAATCTCCGAAACCAAACTCCACAGAAACTTGAAATTTTCAGTGGACATCAAGAAAGGATAGAGGAGCAGCTATACGAAAAATCAGGCTTCTAGCCCTAAAAATGTTGAGTGCAGAGCAGACAAACTATCTGGGAGGGGGGGGGGGGTGGCGGCAACCCCCCCATGTGCGGGCGAGGGTTAAAGGGACTATCCCGCCTTCTAAAATGTTGTTAAAACCAGTTAAATTGTGCCCGACTTTATAGATTGGATGACCAGGAACACGGTTCTGGCATTTATTTTTCATTAAACATCTTAGGCTTCCCATATTCCAAACACAAAATATGTGACGTCACAGCCCAAAATTACCTCCTTCCCCAGGCCACGTTACTGTCATAAAGCTGATTCTTTTTACTCTGTAGGCACCACAACAAAGTTCAGACCAAGTTTTAAGCGATTTTTCAACGAACAAACCCAATTAAATCAGAATGACTAAACGAGGTGACGTCACACTAACGGTCGCTCCATTTTGAAGATAGGGCCTTGTACAAGGCCCATTTTCAAATGAAGGGAACGAATTTCTTCAACACCAAGAGGCCGCGGGGGTTGCAACCTAGATAGATAGTGGTTTCTGAACCTCGCCGCAAACTTGGCTATCTCAACTCAAACCCCATGTTAAAGGTGGGATAGTCCCTTTAATGGACCAGACATACATAGAAGTCAGCATTTACGTTCTATAAAGCCTAAAATCACGCTAGCAAAATAGTCTAGAAAGAGTAAACATTGAAGATGTTATCTCGGAAGCACCTCAATTTCCTCATGACGTATGGATAAGAACGTCTTTCTGTTATTTTGCTGCGATGCCCTTATCAAAAATCGTTGGGAAAGAGGGAAATAGTTCTAATCCATGTCAGCACGTCAATTGCACTACATGCTACTTCGTCTAAAAAATGATTTGACTGGGTTCCACCTTCACCTTGGCATCTTAACCGCTGCGACAGATCACACTGGCCACAGTGCACCAGCTCAGTGGAGCTGAGGTCGCTGTCGGAGCAGTAGCGCCACCTACCTGAGACTCGGAGTCGGGCAGAGTGCCATCTGTCGGTAGTTTCCGGAACTCATCCTCTTCGGTCTCGGGAGAGATATCGAGCTCATCGTCCAGTCCACTGAAAACAGATCAAAACCGGCGTTAGATATTCTGTCACTAGCAGCAGCGTGCCATAAGCCACTTGTTTTTAATAGTGGACAGGGAAAAACAACAGGATTAGACAGAAACTTACATTATAAATGATGAGATCAGTGGCAAAATGAACGAGCCATGATATTACGAATGTTATTAGGTATTGGTTGTTAAGGCAACACAACACAAGGATGACCGTTCAACAGCGAAACATGAAAAATAGTTTGAACTGCGTATCCAATACTATCTGCAAGTTGTGAGATGGCAACTGGCGACAGAGGTCACGCTAGAGCATAACAAGAAGATAATGCACGAGCAAGGTCGAGATGAATCAGTGGAGTTTGTGCTTGGACAAACGGTAAGAAAACATAGGTACGTATGTACAAGCACATACAAAACGTGCACTAAAACGGCGCGGGATGGGCAGAACTAGTATGTATAACCGAGCACTGTCTCATCAGGAAATGCTCTTAAAAATCTCATGCATGCAAAACAATCCGCGATAGAAACAGTTGCTGTGGGGTTGCCACATCTTTCAGCTGCGTACAAACAGGGAGGAATACAGATTGTGGAGAGAAACGGTAAAGCCCTGCAAGACTCCTGGCTCCATCGGCTGGGCTGAATGAACAATGATCAATTGACCATGTCTGTTATTGAACTTCCACGTCATAGTCTGCCAATGTTAAATTGACAGCTTCGCAGATACCTGCTTATTTTCCAAGAAGAGCACGGTACCCGTAACTGTTCCTTCCCTCATTTCCATACCGAGTTGCCACCATTCCTCCCCACCGTTCCCGCATATAGAACACAGCTCCCAAATCAATCAGCTCCTCTCAGCACCGTGGTACTTCGCAGCCCGGAGTGACGTCATCAATCAGTGCCTCTCCGGCCCGTGTGGAGTTTCACGGGCCGGGAGTGACGTCATCCATCAGCCCCGGGGACCAATGAGCGCCCTCGGCTGACCTATCAGTCAGTGAGTTGATTGATGGGCCGTCATCAGTATCTCATCAACAGGTGGACTTTTGAGATGACCGACGCGTGGACTCAAGAAAAATGTGTCATGGATCGGTCACAATGGGATATTGGATAGAATAAAATAGAACCGGATTACGGATAGCATGGGATAGTAAAGGACAGGCTATGAATAGGACAGTGTGGGGATGTGTTCTTTTATATAGCAAGATAATGATGATAAAATAGGATAGGGTAGGATATAACAGCCTAAGGAATGATAGGAAAGAACAGGGCAGGATAAGACAAGATAGAATATATATACGAGTAAGTACCGACAGGAGAGAACAGGATGCCAAGATAGGAGAGGATAGGGTTGATAAAAAACTGTTAGAATGGGATCGAAATGGCATCGATGGATAGTTCAATAATCAAAGACCTTGCTTTGCTGTTTCCTATCATCAGTCGATCGCCCATGTCACCAAATTCAAACACAAATCTCAGATTCGCGGAGACACACAATCACCATTCGACACATAAAACTATCACACTGTGTCTAAGATAGGTATCATATCTGGCCCATGTTATCCTCCTGAGCCTCAGGCACAGACCAGCACGTGATATTATTGGACCAAGTCTGGGCGAACCACGACCCTTCGTTCACATTAGCATGAATAAGCCATCGAAGGAGAAATATGACCGGGATCAGGGTGGGTGCGACGCCGAAATACCGGTTCATTATCAGCCGATGTCGATATGTATTTGTGTCGGAAAACTCGCCGGAGAGCCAGCAGATGAATGGTTTGTAGATAATGACAGCTGACAAGGTGATAGAGGACGGAGGAGACAGCCGCACCAGGTCAAAAATGAAGCCATGGAAGAGAAGACAGGTTTGAGTTACAGCCGGGGCAACGGCCAAGGTGCCATACTCGAGCTTTGATTATCCGTCGAATGGGTTAGGGGTTTGGTTTCGTCCCAACGAGTTGAGCGAGCTTTCTAAGAGCCAACTCAGCTCCACATCCATCGACTTTCAGTCATTTATTGTCGCTTGTAAATTGCGGGAAGTCGGGCATCTGTCTGCATTTGTTCGCATACATCTGCATCTTTACCGCTATCGTCTATCACCGTTGTCTATCGAAAGCAGCGACATACAACGAGACTACTGGGTCTCTGCAGAGATGAGAGACCAACGCCATTTTCCCATCTGACCGCCCGAACGTTCGACTCCTAGGATGAGGTCACCTGACGCCTCCGGCACCGTCTCGATGGAGTTTTAATGACACAAATTGGAGCGGACGGAGAGACGGAGGGCTCCAGGGACCACCGAGGCCTCACGCAGCGCGGATCACGGACGCTACGGGGCACACCGGAGGCGGTAGAGGAGCAAGCTGGCAGACGGGGAGGGTCGACTGAACAGTGAGAGAAGCGGCCTTCGCGGGAGCAGGGTAAGGCAACGAAAAAACTATTCCCAAAAAATGTGCGCACCAATTAGCTACCTCGGTACTATGTAGTCATAAAAATAAAAAAAAAGTTGTAAACGTCTAAGTAATGTAATATTTGATGTTGTTCCGCGGTGCTGTGTAAATACATTTCTGATAAATACCAAGCCAATCATGTTCCTCACAAACTCAAAAGTCAGTTTGTCCTTCCCCTCTCCACAATCTACACATCCCGTTGTAAATTTCACGCTCCCCAAACCAGGCAATGCCTCCAAACCGCAGTCGCCCAGTTCCCACAGCCTGTTGTTGTTGTTCACCAACAGTACGGCACCGATCTCTCAGCTGACCGCCCCTCCGCCCCTCTGCCCCGCCCTCCACCGCTCTCCCCGCCCCGCTCCGTCCCTCTGCCCCGCCCCCTGACCTCTGCCGCCCGCGCACAATCGGGCGTGTCAGTTTGCCCCGCGGCTATGCCAAGAGAATCGCGGCGGTCAGCGAGACTAGAGCAGAACGGAATCCGAGCATTGTGGTTCCAGAATTTGGGACTGGCACGTAGTCTTGAGAGGACGTCATGGAACGTGAGGGGAATCTCCATTCACATTGTCCAGGCCAATTTAGTGAGTTGGGATGAGGTGGAGTGGAGGCATGGAGAGAAGCTGTGCAGATAACGATGAGTGTTGTGCACTGATGCTGAAAGATCTGGAGAGGTGACTAATAACAAGTGTCGAGGGCTGGTGTGGAGAGAATAACATTTCAAGCGCAGAAACATGCACAAAAAGAGCGCTTTATAAGGGGGTTTTGCAATGACAATCGTTTGCAAATCCTTTCGTAAATCGTGACGCAGATTTTTCCATATGTAATTGGGCTTATAGAGTCCACTGACCGGGCCCAAGTAAAATTTTTTTGGCGGCCTGTAAGCAAGAAGAACCAAGAACCAAGAACCAATACTTCACTGACGACAATTGACAAGTTTCCAGCCTATATAGCTGATCCTGAGACCTGAGATGACCAGTGAGTGCCTCGCACGCTGCAGTCTCTGGCCGTTTAGTCGAACCTTTTATCACCTCTCCTGAACGATATCCATCACGCAACGGAAATTCAGACGAGCCTCCGCGCGGCCAAATACGCAAAAGTGAAAGTAAAATTGCACAGAGCGATTAATGACAGTCTCATTAACTGTTGCACTGGCTTGCAGGTGACGGTTGGAACGGTGAGGTAAGAGAGACAGCGCCAGCCGTCATGCGGAGAGGAAGGTAAACGCGGTCACGGAGGTGTGGAGGCGAAGTCACGTCTCATGGAACACGACGTGGCGACCCGTGAGAAAATAACGGTCGGTCAAACCAAATAGCGGACATATTTTCGAGCCGACAGTGTGGGTTCAGACTTCAGAGCGCGCTCAGAGACGGCGTTTGAGCCCAGCTACTCTCACATTAAATTACTAGCGCGAGACTATACGCTGCTGAGAGCCGGAGTGATGTGACCATTCGCGGGAAGAATCCACGCTGTGACCGCTTCAAGAGTCGCGGTTTGACGCAGATAATCTACAACTGACTCGGTACCGTTCGTATGTGGGTTGAAACTCAATGTTCACACAGATATGCGCGACGATGCTTCCGAATGTGCAAGGCTCTCAGGACTTCTTTACTTGCATGTGCGACTTCTATGGAATACGACGACAGAATAGCATCTTACAATAGTTCCTAAATTTGGATGGTAGATGGCAAAATAGCCTCCACTTGTTTTGCTAAAAAAAAGTCTAATGACAAAAATAAGCACAAACAAATATTTGTGAGACAATCGAAATCCATGACAAAAAGACATTTGTCTCGGAACGGAAAAGGTGCAGGGGTCGAATTTGTTCAATCCTAGAATTCGACACGGTCAGCATACTTAGGCACAAGCCATCACTGCTCCAGTTTTCCTCGCAATACCTCGCGGAGCAGAGATATCTGAACGCCACAGAACTACTCTAGAGATGGCCTTTCCAGCCTCCTAATGATGCGCTCGGTTCGTCACGCCCACTTTCGAAGAGTTATGGTCGAGACAAGATCACACGACTACGCATGCGTTTCTGCCTTCTGAGTGTCATACATCAATGGTGCAACTCGTTTTCTTCCTTGGAAACCTAATATAATGCAAAGATATATCCATTGATCATACAGCCACATGAGAAGTGGCTGCACAATATGATTCCATGCGAATCAGTGAATGATGTTGATCCGCTCTATGCATGCATTCTCATGATATTTCTTCACGAAATGCAAGGTACATGCATCCCAAATCCCATGATAAGATGTGTGATTTTTCCACGCGATGAAATCGAAAAGAGATCGTGACTTCTGAAGTCTGATTTATGAACAGAGAAACCCTTCAGCTAGTTACTGGGAATACCCAGCTCTGAGAACAGGAAGCAACTGACTCCCAGAACTGATAGGGAACAAGGAACTGTTGAGCAAAATACAAAGGATGATATTGGGTATAAATTATTACCTTACCTGGATAATCCTTTACCAACTATCAAAGACAGAAATCGCTGATTATCGTTAAACTACAGAAAATATCTACCTATGTCCCAGTTTTATAGCGTTATTATTTTGTTTTGTATCGATAATTTTTACTCTGATAACAGACAAACTGCAATGTCATCCAGGCACTAGGTGCCGCGCCCAGTCGCACAGTTTCCGTTCGATACAAGGAACATTCCTCTGTCCTTATCTGGGATCAGTTTCACCTGCAGCTGACAAGCGCGTAAATTCTCGAGAGCTGTGGTCCTTTGGTTTTCCTGAGCTTGTATAAGATTCTTATTATATGTTTTCACACTTCAATTGTAGTTTCACAATACATTGAATTCTAAAAACACTACTGGCGTAACTCTAATTTTGATAAGGGGATGGTGTGAACTTCCGGGATTCACACTGACAAAAATTCTAACAAAATAAGGATAAACAGAACAGAAAAACCTATCGGCACAGCCAATTAAGATCACGATAATCCTTGACCGCATGAAGCATGCATGCAACGCTCGAATGGCTTACACCGACAACATTCATATTGCTAACAGAACTGCAGTACACAGCATCAACTTCTCGTATATGTACTTGCACAGCCAGTGCTGACAATTTTAGACTTACCAGCCGGCGCAGCATCCAAAGAAAGTCAGCAGACCTCTGCGCCTCCTGGCACGGGGACGAGACTTGCCCATGGTATCCAGCTCTGGTTCACCGATACTGGCTTACACTCGCTTACCACTCGGTTGGTGAGCCTTGAGTTAGCAGCTGTGTGACAAAAGGGGCGACTTAGCACTCATGAGTCCCAGAGGTACTTTGCAGAAGGTCCAGAAGTAGCCGCGAGTCGAAATGACCACTTGTCATGAGTATTTCTGCCTGGTTTCTTGACAAAATCAATCAGTACCTGCCGCCTGCAGTATTGTCCAAATCACTCGTTAGTTGTGCCTTTTCCACAGCAGTAACACTGCTCTCTTGCAACTACCACTGCTGTTCCATAGCGGGCATCAAAGGGCAAAAGCATGCAGGTCTTCACTGAATTATAGGCAAAATGTCAATCACAGACGTGCTTGTGCCTGGAGTCACTCTTGGTCTCACAACTGGCCAACTGAGATGGGTGAGGTGACATTGGTACCCTTGAACCTCAAGGCGGTAGCATAGGCACTGTCCTGATCAGCAGCGTTCACGGGTCAATAGATCACTTCTTAGCGCACTGAAGTCTTCCCGCTATCGTTTCAGACAGACTCTCAGTGCGAAATCACGAACACTAGCACAATCGCCCCAGAAACTGTCACCACCAGGAACAAAGCCGGTCTCAGGTCACCATCGGAGGTTACCATCATAGATCACCATCATCACCAGCCGAAATCACCACCAGCACCAGCTCACCACTCCACCAACACCTCCCCTCGCTCCCTACCGCACCACGGACGTCAACCCCCCACAGCTGCGGCGCGCCACTGGTCGCTGCTCGGCGCCGCCGCCGAGTGCCGGCCGCCCGCCCTCCGCAGGTCGCGTCAGAACAGCCACAGCCACAAGATGACGCCCCTGCCAGCCGGCCGGCGCCCGCGGCTATGGAAATCGGCGCAGCGGTGCGACGCGGCGGCGGTGGCTGCGGCGAGGCGCCGGGGCTGGCTGGGCACGGGTGTGTGAGCATGAATACCCGGCGGAGGCTCATAGCGTCTAGGCGTGCTCACTCGGGCGTGGCGGGTGCGGAGAACGGCCAGCACGAGCAGCGGAGGCTCGAGAGGTGGTAGGGTCGGTTGGACATTATACTTGTACAGCAGATGATGGGGTCACTCCACTCAGGAGAGGTAACCTGGGTACTCCCCAAACGACAGAAGTCGGCAGCCGGCATGGCTCCTCAGACTACAAGAAATCGAAACGGGAGTGGCTTAGTACCCCGTGTCACCGACGAAAGTGCTCGGACCAACCCGCGCTACCGCTGTGCCGCCGTGATAGCCGGCCGGCCGCCGTGCCACCGCGGCGGCGCCGCCGCTCGCTGCAGCCGTCCCGCCGCCGCACCGCCGTCACCCCGTCCAGACTCAGGATGAGTTGTGAGGCATTGTGCAGGGCGGGGCCGCGAGCAGACGCGGCCGGCGGTCGGTACGCGTGCCGCCGACGCTGCCGAGCCGCAGCAGCGCCGCGGCCGCCACCGAGACAGAGATATAAATTAAAGACACGTCGTTTTAAGGCACGTAGGCCGCCAAGCTGGCGCCTTCAGCCACCTCCCCGCTGCAGTGCAAGTTCGCACTCGTTTTGCACACGTCTTAAGCATTGCGTATAAAATGTGGGTCACGTGCGACCCCGGCAGAGTCTCACTTCGACCGTCGCGCTGTGCGCACGGACTGATCTGCCCCGCTCGACGCCTCGCCCGGCTGAGCGGGGACAGAGTACAGAAGCACGCGCGCAGACCGACTCTCCTGCGCGCAGCCGCGCCCGGCGGGGCAGTGTCAGTGCTTCAGATTTGTACAGTGAATGTGAATGGTGCTCCGTGTCTGCGTGTTTCATCTACCGGTTTTCTTCACAACTGCTTCCGCTTCTTGCTTCGCGTATACTTCAATAAATCCTCTACGGGAAATCTTCACGTCTATCTACTACTGAAATTCGCCGAATATCAAAAACCCAGGAGCTCACATAGCAGGCGGGCGGGCTACGAATGTCGCACAAACTCACCGAATAAAATACAGTCCACATCCAACCAGAAAAGAACTCCGAACGACAGTTTGTCGGCGACATTTGCTGGTCCTCCGGGCCGGATCCTGAACTATGGCAAGTGGAGAAGCAAGCCCGTCTCTAGAGCGAATGGGTGAAAGTGACAAAGAAGAAACCGCTGACATGGAAGAAGTACCAGCTGAACCAGCCGCTGCAGGTCAAGGACAAGCTGCAGTGACAACAGTCCAAGAGGAACCACGAGAAGGCCAATGCTCCAACGGGGAGTGGCGGCACCTCAGACAGGTGAGAGGTCGTCATCGGGCGGCTCTCACAAGGATTTTCCGGCGCGCTGAAGCTCTCGTGACAGATAGAGCCTCACGCGTCCAGTTTGGAAATATCCGCAGAGAAATGGACAGCGCTTTCCAAGCGTTGATGGCCGTTCACGAATGTATCTCTGGATACACGCAGAGTGAGGAAGAAAAAGAAAATGAGGCTCAGTACTTAAACGAAGTTCGTACGGAGAAAGAGAGAATCGAGGAGAAAATCGAGACTTTCATGACAAGCACCACAGACGAACTACAGCTGACCTCTACGAGACAGACTGACTTCAGCAAGGATGGAGGAGGGCAACCTGAAGACGGCTTGGGACGCTCAGTGTCACGCATGACCCGTAGCGTCGCTCGCCGAGCAAGGTCACAGGTTAGTGGCAGCTCGGCGGCCTCTCATGCATCAGCTGAAGCCAGGATATCATCCAAACTGAAGGAGTTGCGTGTGCGCCAGCTGGAGCGAGAAAGGACACGAGAGCAAGAGCTGCGCGAACAAGAACAAAGGATAAGGCAACAAGAACAAAAGATAAGGCAACAAGAACAAGAACTGCACTACGAGAGAGACCTTCAGAAAGCCAGAGATGAAGCTGAAGCTGCCCGACTGGAGGCGGACCTGAGGGAAGAAATGGAAGACGAGCTCAATGCAGACAGGCGAGACGATTTTGTGGATGAAAATCTGGGAGAACCAATCACCGAGAAAAGCGTTTCTCAAAGGCCGAACTGCTCCAGATCACAACTTCGTTTCTCCGAGCCAGTCTCCATTACGCCCAGAGAACCTCTAGAACCTCTAACCGAAATCAGGGAAGAACCTCCGCAACTAGAACCTCCACGAATGGCGCCCAGTCCCGGTATGTCCACAAGCCAGACGTCATGGATAGATCAGCTGCGACCGACAGCTGCACCACGTCCGGCTCCTACGACATCCGCGTTCACTAAGAGCATTCTCCGTCTCCAGCTGCCGACCTTCTCAGGCAAGCCGTCTGAGTGGCCGCGCTGGATCGGACTGTTCCGAGCGCTCGTGCACGACCAGCCATCGCTCAGCGACGCGGAAAGAATGGCTCATCTGCAAGCGTCAGTGATGGGACAAGCGCAAGAAGCCATCGCTGGCATGTTATTTGACGGCAACCTCTACCAACAAGCCCTCAAAACTCTACAAGATCGTTGCGGCCGAAGCACGGATGTGATTAAGGTACATCTCGAGAAAGTGTTCTCGGCTGAACCTCCTCAGAAGAACAGTGTTCGGTCGTTAGAGTACTTCCATTCCGCCCTGCACTGCGCGGTCACGCTCATGCAGGCCCAAGGATATGAGGCGGACCTGTACAGCACAGAGAATCTCAGAAGAACGGTGGTCAAACTTCCAGAATATCTAGGGCGTGAATGGGGTAAACATGTACTCGAACTCCACCCAAGACACCCATCACTCATCGACCTGGACGTTTGGCTGCTGAAGCAGGTCCAAATTGCATCGCTCTGCCAAACCGCTGAAACGCCGAGTGACAGGCGAGGGAGAACCAGAGACCAGACGACTAAGCGAGCAGCGCATGCTACTGCAACTTCGTCACCAGCCTCTCCATCAACGGCACAGAAACCAGGTGGGAATGCGTCGTGTCCGAAGTGCGGCGGTGAGCACAGACTGCACCAGTGTCGTGAGTTCAAAAATCTGGACGTCGAAAGAAGAATCGACCTAATATTCGACAAGGGACTGTGCCTCTGGTGTCTGCAAAGGGGACATCTCGCCAGAGAATGTCAGAACACCAAGCTCTGTGGTGTAAATGGGTGCCAGAGACGCCATAATCAGCTGATACATGGCAGCACCAAACGAACCACGCCCCTCACCGACCGCTCGGGAGCCGTAGCCAGTCGGCCTGCCAATGAAACAACTTCAGCGGCAGAAGGAGAAGAGGTACGTGTGGTGGCTGCATCTACCTCCATCGGAAAGACGGGTGGAACTCTTCTACAAATCGTTCCAGTTCGAATTCATGGAAAGAAGGCAGGAACTCACCGTGACACCTATGCTCTTCTCGATTCAGGGTCAGAATCTTCCTTCTGCAGTGAAGCTGTGCTGAACCAACTGGGAATCACAGGACAAGACGAACAGCTGTGTCTTCAGACAGTGGAAGGAACTGGAAAACCTCAAGCATCAACTAGAGTGAAGCTAGAGCTGAGCTCTGTGGCCCCTGGGGAAACTCGAAGAATCATCGTGCCTGAGGCGTGGTCTGTTCCATCTCTCGACATCTCCATGCCGAACGTCTGCAAGAAGCAGCGGGAGAAGTGGCGTCACATCAAGGACTTGGACATTCCTCAGTGCTCCCATGGACAGGTGGAACTGTTGCTCGGAGCTAACGTCAGCGAAGCAGTCATCCAGCAAGAGGTCCGGGTGGGTCAACCAGGCCAACCGATAGCTGTACGTACTGCTTTTGGTTGGACCCTGACTGGCGCTGTGTCCGACCTGCACCCTGGAAAACATGGACGAACTAGAAGAGCGATGTTCATCCAGAAAGGCTCCGCTGCTGACGAGGAACTGGACAACATGCTGAAGGACTGGTGGACAACTGAATCCTTCGGAGCCAAGTATGAAAGGTCAGTGTCACAGTCGAAAGAAGACCGTCGAGCGCAAGAGCTTCTAGAGTCAACAACCACCAAGTTAACCGGCAACCGCTACGAGACTGGCCTCCTCTGGAAGACTGACGACGACACGCCGTTTCCAGACAGCAAGGTGATGGCTACAAAGAGACTACACGGCACCGAGAGGCGTCTGGTAAACGATCAAGAGAAAGCAGCAGCTTACCAGGCCACGATCGATGCATATGTAAAAAAGGGCCACGCCAGAAAGCTGTCCAGGGAGGAGGCACAGCTCCGGCTACCCAGATGCTGGTTCCTACCACACCATGCCGTGACTAATCCCAATAAGCCAGGCCGCTTCAGGATAGTCTTCGATGCAGCAGCCAGATCGTACGGAACATCGCTGAATGACAAGCTCCTGACCGGACCAGACCTGCTGAAGAACCTCACCGGCGTCCTGCTCCGTTTCCGAGAAGAAAAAGTCGGCATGGCGGCAGACATCCAAGAAATGTACCACCAGGTCCGTGTCATCGAGAAGGACCGACCTGCGCTCAGCTTCCTGTGGCGCGACCTGGATCAAACTAGAGAACCAGACATCTACGAGATGCAGGTGACCATCTTCGGCGCCAAATCGTCTCCAGCGTCTGCCAACTACGTCCTCCAAAGAACAGTCGCGGACCATGGAGAAGACTGCGGGCTGCCAAAGAAGGCCGTGGAAACTGTGAAGAACAGTTTCTACATGGACGACTTCTTACGATCAGAAGAACATGAAGATGATGCGTTGAAGACGACGAAGCAGGTGACAGAGACACTCTCCCGAGGCGGCTTCCATCTGTCCAAGTGGGTAAGCAACTCGCGGCGCGTCCTGGAGAGCATTCCCCGAGAGAAGCGCGCCCAGCCGGAACTAGACCTCACAGAAGCGGAGCTGCCCACACAAGGTGCCTTGGGAGTGGTCTGGGATGCTGAAAAGGACAGTCTGAGCTTCAGATTCCGAGACTCAAGCGTCCCGATGACAAAGCGGGGAGGCCTCCAAAGGACTGCGTCGATCTCCGATCCTCTGGGGATCGCCGCGCCCTTCGTCATCAGAGCCAAAATGTTCATGCAGCAGCTCTGGACCAAGCAACTGGACTGGGACGACGAGCTGGATCGTGAGGAGCAGAAAGAATGGGAAGAATGGCTCCAAGAACTGCCAGCACTGAGAAACATCAGTGTCCCACGCTGCCTCCGTCCAACATCAAGTGACACAATAGCGCGTGAGCTTCATGTCTTCTGCGACGCATCAGAGGGAGCGTTCGGAGCAGTCGCTTATCTCCGTACGACCTCACCAGACAGCACGCATCACTGCTCGTTCATCATGAGCAAGACACGAGTTGCACCGCTGAAGAGACTGTCGATCGTCAGACTGGAGCTGCAGGCAGCAGTGCTCGCAGTGCGCTTGGTGGACGCGCTCCAAAAGGAGATACCAGATCAAGTCAAGAAGGTCACCTACTGGAGCGACAGCCGGGTCGTCCTGCAG